GATTGAATGAAGGTTTGAGGAGCTATGAACTCCATTTCTATGTGAATCTCATCTCTGTAATACCTTCTTCAATGTCAGCTCAATTACTGATTGATTTGATTACAAATTCATCTTGAAATCTAGCTCAAAACTATCCAAAACACTAACAACAACGTGTACTGGCTAGCTCATAGAAGCTACGTATGTGTGCAAGTCACTTGCTGTACATAACAAATATGTTAAGCATACGCTATGGAATTTTCACCATGAATGTTTTCCACACAAATCTGCAGCCTGGTGCAACATTTGAGCTAAATCTGGAGCTTGGGCAAAGTAATTCCGCCTTACGGAAAGCGAGCCTAGCATAGGTTGATTACTGTAGTTAACTTTCGCTCGACCATCTCCCGCCTCTTCAGGTTTCTGTGGGAGAAGAAACCGCCATTTTCATAAAGTTCAATGACTTATATCAGTGGTATCTGCATTGTCTGTATGTAATCTGGACGAATCAGACTCAATTGATGGAAAACTTACTCGTTTGGTTAAAATGCTAACACAACATATTTGTGACGATCACTTTGAAAAATCGTTTGAATGAGTTCAGTATATAATACAAAGAATTCTTCATCCGTCAAAATTGAGCTCAATCGATCTCCTCACAGAACAACTTAGTTTGAACTTTATCGTACCTAATAATTCATGCTCTAACTTATGAATGAAATTAATCATTTATGCGAATAAACATGATCAAGTTAAAGTTAATACAGTGCATTTTCAAAACCCCCAGAAGCAACTAATCTTCTATTTAACTCACTTTTAACTTCCAGAAAATATTATAACAAACGCAATATGCCTATTTCTTATATCTCGTCAATAAACTCGAGAAGATCGTCAACCTCCTGCCTCAAGGCAGTAATTTTTTGCAGATGTGAAGCAACCCGGTTCTCGATTTCTCTTCCGCCATACTTCTTCTCATAGCAATCCACAACTGTAGAGTGTTTAACCATTAACCTTTCTTCTAAATCTTTCTCCTTCACCACTAGCTCCTCCACCTGTATAAACAACCGCATAATAAATGCAATAATTAAAAGATGCACGGCAATAATACTGTGATAACATTCCGCATGCCATGCAAACCTGGTGTATCGACAAGAATTCCAATTAATTCAGTGGTTGGCAGTACATAAACAAAAAGATAATATAATTCCAACTAAAAGGCCAGCCAACCTTGGGCAGTATATGAGCAGCCTGCTGAGAAGATTGCAAGAATGCCAACAAGGGCTTCATCTCTTTTGAAAGCTCTTTCAACGAACCATCAGCTGCTTTCCTAGCTGCTTTACAAGCTTGGACATCTCCTGTCCGTGAAAGATCACGTAATGATGCTTCCAGCTTATCATGTATCAGGAGGCATCGGTTGATGATATTTTGGATCTTCTGAATTGCTGCTTGCACCTAGAACAAGACAGTAATTACTGTTTTCTTATCGTAAATTATTTAAGAAAGAAAAATACAAGACAAAATCTTACTTCATCCCACTGCAGTTTGGCCAAATAAGATGGAGAAGATTTGGAGATTGACATGTCCACATGCATGTATACAATGCCAGCAACGAAAAGGAAGAAAAATCCAGAAATCAACATCAAGGGCTCAGTCAGCATTGCCAGGCTGTTGAATTTGTAAAAGACCTGCAAATGGAACATACTAAAAGCTATGACAAAATTGAGGACAATATGGTATAACCGGGGAACAGAAACCATGTGAAAAGGCGTCCATTGTCATAGCACATGTAAGGAGATTCGCTTCAATCTTGATTATTAGAAAAGAAGCCATGAAAATTAGTATTAATTGAATCAAACTTAATACATCATGCAAAAATTACGAAATCAGTGAATTAATATCTCAACATTCATGGAAATGAAATATCAATAGGAACCTCAAAACAATAGTAGTCGGATAAAGAGTGAAAAGACGGAAGATGACACAATAAATGGCAGCCAACAGGGCCGCTGCCCAACATGTTATTTTCACTACTTCTATATATAGATAAATATTTAAGTATCAGTATGATGATTGATTCTACACTACAATTACTAAAGAAAGGGGAAAGACAATTAGGCACCTAAAACAGAAAATAGTTTGAATACGATGAAGTAGAAAGTTTGTCAGAAAACATACCCGTCTGATACACTAAAAAGATTAATAGACACTTGCAAGCAACTATAAACTAAAATCCTTTTTCTCATTTAAGCAAAACTGGAAGCTTTAACATCGAAGTGTCTCGTTTTCTATAGATCACTAGAAATGTAAGTTGGTTTTGAAAACATTAACCAACATTAGAACTAAGTAAATGTGTTATTTTAACATTAGAAACTAATTTAATATTCTCACAGCCATCTCATGTTATATGAGAAAATGTAATTGTTACCTGGAATTTCTGATTATGCTCGGGCACAGCATTAGTCTTTTCCAGTACAACCACTGGCCTTCCAACAAGATCCAAGTGGGAAAATTTTGTCTGTAAGATTCGTACACATATTTAATTAACAAAAGGAAAAGTGAAGCTTTTTCAAAATAAATAAATAAAAAATAAAATAAAAAATAAAAAATAAAAAAAAGAGAAGAGGGAAAAGAGAAATAATTAAATATAACTTGGTGTATAATACCTCTCGCCCTTGTTTCAGAGGAAATGGAGCAGATACAGATATATCTCTGGAACCCTCGGGTAGAACAACCTGCAGTTTACAGTCAAAAAATTTAAAAAAAAAAAATACAGGAAATGAATTCTTTTCAAATAATCTGACTCCAATTCATGCTTTTTAAACATTCCTGCTGATATAACACATCCTACACAATAGAAGGAAGTTATACGAAAACAACTCAGTATGACAATCTAACAAATAAGTAGCCAACAAAAAAGTTGAAGAAAAAAGAATTAACGGATCAAAGGAAATAGTATCGATAAATCATCACATTACCAACCTTCACAATGAGGGTGTCAATGACCACCTCATTCACGGGGCAACCAAAAGTGATATTAAGGACACGTTGTCCATCTGATTCAAACAGAAAATCATGAAGTGGCAAGCCATACCCGATGGTAAAAGCAGTTCTCCAACCACCAAACATAGGATATCTAGGTTCGATTTCCAGTTCCGTCTGCAATCATATATACAAGTTGAGAAAAATCAGGAATAACAACTGGGAATATCAGTCCACGCAAAGTAAAAAAATTACCTTCTTAGAATCACTCCATAAGTTAGATGTTGAAACATTGCCTATTTCATCCCTATAGTAAACAGAATGAGCTCTCGGTGGCAATTTTGCAACAAGACGTCTAATGGCAGATTGACCGTTGACATGAGGTCTGGCTTGATAATCAAGCCTGCAGAAGAAACAAGCGGAAATTAAATTTAAGCTCCTAATAGCATAGCACCAAATGACCAACAAGACAAATAAAAAGAAAAAAAAAGACCTTGAAAATTCTCCCTTGCTTTGAGCACCTCCATGGACAAGCTTGTAGTGCTCTGTTACTTGAATATTACCCCAATGGGAAATCTCTATTTCTCGCACCAACTCTTCAGCGACGGCAAAGGGTTGATTGCTCTCAAAATGAACAACTATAGGTGAGTATGAAAGGGGAGAAAGATTCTCATAAGGACCGTATTTGATCTCTGAACCAACACTCTTTGTATTTTCTAATTTTGTATAAGATTCAATTCTCGCATCAGGCAATTTAACACTGAGTGTTTGCACCTTGACTGCATAAGGAGAGAGATAGTATGCGCTTTCCTGAAACACTAGCAGTTGAATGTCAGCCTGAGTAATTTTCTCTGGAAACGGTTTCAATGCACGTGTGAAAACAGCCAATACATCAAAAGTGAAGCTGTCCCCCTTCCCCAGTCCCTTTGGTAAAGAAACGGAATAAAAAATCAAAGCAGGGGGCATGTCATTCGGGTGAACATTTTGAACAGGGTAACTAATACTAGAACCTTTCGCTTTTCCTTTGCCTGCGTTGGGGGTTGCCTCCAGATGTGCCAAATGTTTTGCCTGACTCTCAGGAAAGGCCAACAGAAGTTCTGAAACCAAACTGCTTCCCTCGTTCACCACCTGCAGAGCATGAACGGAACACAATTCAAATTCAAGATATACAGATTTCAATGGTTTCTTATTTATTTTTATTTTCAAACGGTGATAACTTTTCCATGCATTCTTGTAAGGATTCTTACCACCCGTGAAATCGAGAATTCAAAATCTGAGAAACTAATTTCTTATTGAGTATCAAATAAATTTAAGAACAAGGAATCAATATTAACAATTCAATGAATGAAAAGGGTAGTAATGGGGCACCTTCAGTGTGGAAGTGATGCGGGCAATTTGTGATGTCAAATCAATCTGCAACCAGCCAACCAACCAACCAAAAAACAATCAGAGAGCAAACATGAATGAACACCAAATGCAATCTTTAAAATAAAAAAAAGTAACAAACTTTTGATGAATGAAACTAGAATTTTCGATTCTGAATCATGAAACAATAAAATGAGAAGATGGAGATCTCAAACAACCCAATTCATGGAGTCGGGGAATCATGGAAAGCAGAAACAATGTGAGTGAATTACAGAGAAAAGTGGGGAGGGGAGGGAGACTTACGCGTCGGTCAACCTTGGAGACGACCAGATCCGACAGCACAGGCGCCCACACGACGAAGAGTACCACCAGAAACACATCCACTCTCAAACCCATCTCTTTCTCTCTCTCTCACTCGTGTAGCAAATAGCAAAAGCAAATGCAGCAGCTCTTCTCAGAGGTTTTGGGTCTCTTCAGTCTCGAAACGACGGCGTCGTGTCTCCGAGACTACCGAGACTATAGGATGAAGAAATCCTCGAACCAGTTACAGTGAGTGCCAGAGAACTCGACCCACTTCCACAAGGCCCAACTGGCTCAGTTTTAAGCAGGGCACGTGCTGAACTTGACATGCAGTCGCTGATTGGATTGTTGAAGCGAAAAACGCACGTGATGGTCTTCTCTCCCAACTCCCAACTCCCAAGATAACGAAAAGGACCAGTTGGGAGACTAGTGTAAAAGCAGGTGACTCTCTCTCTCTCTCTCTTCTCCGCCATATCCAGCTAGGGTTTTGGGTTTCGGGTTTCGGGTTTCGGGTTTCGGTGGTGAAATGGAGACCTCCCTGAGATACGGCGATGCCAAAGCCTTAAGAATCCACGCCAAGCAAAAGGCTCCCCCTCTATTGCAAAACTCACTTGCAGGTGAGGTGCCCTTTCTTCCTCTCTTCTCCAGATTTTCTTCAATTTTTAATCTCTCCCTGTTTTTCTTTCTTGGTTGATTGCTGTTGAAATTTATTGCCTTTTCTCTGTGGTAAGTGAATATCAGTAAATTTTCGTGCTTCCAAACCATGATAACTTTCTCAGTCTATAGCCATTGGAGTTGTACTGGAATGTTGGGGACTTCAGTTCAATGCTCAAATTCTTGAATTTTTTTTTCTGTATGCGTGTTAGGTTCATGGAGAACTAGATACTAGAATTGGAGTTCCCACTTTTTTTTAGAGCCGTTGTGAGGCGCTTCTACCCCGATGTATGTCGATTTTTCCAATATCTAAGTTGTCCTTACAACAATTTATTTATGTTTGCAGCTCAAGAACAATCAAATAGAATTTTCGATTTTGTGCAATTTATGGCCACTCTAGGCTAACATGGATGCGTTCTTTTTTTTTTTTTATCATTAATAATTGATGAGCATGGTAACGACCATGGAAATCAATTGTAGTTTTCAGCAAGCCTTGGAGTTGGACTGCAATATGATAAGCGTGAGAAACTGCACTACACTGTCCGTGGGAAGAAGTCGTTCCCCGTGACAATAGATGGCCTGTTAAGCTTCAATGTTAAGGGAAGATGTAATCTTGACAAAGAATTTAAAGAGGTTGGTACGATGTCAATTGTTTTATTTTGACCTTTGAAAACACTTGTGCGGTTGTGCCCCTTCCTTATATGGTTGCTGAATCAAAACATGCGCTCTCTTGAGACCGGCAAAATAAAATATACGCTATCTATTCTCTATCTTTGCTCTCGAGTGTGTTTGTTATTCCTTTGTAAAGTTAGAAGTTAGAACCTTTGTATGTTTACGTTGACTGTAATTCTTCCACAGAGAAACTCCACAGGAGCTGCTGAATTTTCATGGAGCATTTTGAACTTTCAAAAGGACCAAGATGTCAGGCTCAAACTTGGTTATGACTTGTTGGACTAGGTATTGTTGCTTAGCTCAATCTTGATTATGACTTGTTGTTCCAGTCTTGTTTTACGTTGTCGGAATCATTTCATTTGAAATCATACATCCAACAATATCTTCTTGTTTTGTAAATAAAATTCTCTTGAATGCATAATTACTAATATCATAACACAACAACAAAGAATTTTACTTTTGTGCTATAAGATTAGTATACATCTTCTCTTTGTATTCCACTTTTGGTGGACTAAATGAAATATTGGAGTTATTTGATCAAACTCAGTTCCCAAATCGAATCTCCCTCCCACTAGCTTAGATGAATTTAACTAATTATGCTATTGTTTGTCAAAGACTCAGATCCAGTTTTGAATCTTATCCTTGTAAATTGTAATTAAAGGTCACATTGAATGTTCCACTGCGTATTTGTTGTTTTTTCCGCCTTTTTCAGATTCCATATATGCAGATCAGGGAAAACAATTGGACATTCAATGCCAATGGTAATGGAAAATGGAGTGTGAGGTTTGACTTGTGAATAGGGGGAATTTGAACTACTTATTTTGTGGGTCAGATTTGGTGCTGCAAACATTGTTGTGCTGTATTTTACTTATAATTGACAGGCAATTGTGCTAAAACTAAATAGTGAAAATTTTAAGTGGAACATTTAGTGGTCCATTGTTTGATTCTTTTGGCTTATATTTTTTGTATCCATAGCTTCTACCATACAATGGTAGCTGAAAGTTCAAGTGTCTTGAGGCAGAGGTAAAAGCAGAGGATAATGCGAATTATATTTGGGGCATATTGGGCAAGAGCACATCCGCGACATCTAAAATGCGAGCTGCTTCTTTTGAGACATTTTTTGAACAGATGGTGTAAGGATGTGGAGTTGTCCTATATCGGAAATGTTAGCTTTGAATGGTTGTACAGTTAAAACACAGAGCACAAGGATGAAACTCTAACCTGTTGAAGGCCCAGAAGCCATGGATGCAGTTGAAGTCGAGAGGAAGTTCTGGAGGAATACCAAGTATTCTACAAACTCCTAACCGTGTAACAATGACTTTGGGAAGCCTCAGTTGTTTTAGTTTCAGGGCTTGCAGGGACCGATATTTATACAAGATATGGGCTAGGGTTTCCGTTCATACAGGAAACCTAATCCCACTTTCTTAGCCTCTAACTAAGGTATCATTTTCACATAAAATCAAGGACTATCACTCTTACTGTATTATAAAACACCTAATATAAGATTGATATCTTAGGAGATCAATTCACAATCTACATTAATCTTTAATATTACATTCCTATTATATGTTGTAGACCATTTGAGGTTGATTTATTTTTGATAAATTCAACATTCTCTCACTTAGTCCACAAATATAATGTCTATGTTTATACTCGAGATTGAAGACTATGTCACTTTAACGGCCATGTAATTGTGATTGCATCCTGTTCTAAATCCAAGTTCCTGTCAAATGCATTTTTTAACATGGAACTAACAAGGTTGTAGGGTTGGATTGACACAACCCAGAAGGTTCATAATCACACATGTTAAGATCCTCATTCACATGAAATTCCGTCAAATTATGATCAAGAGATGAAACTCAACCTAAATACGTCTTCCTTTATATCATCTCAGGTCCTCCATATTGTAACGTAAAAATCACACTTGATTCCTCTTCAAAGCCTATATGCTTGCCAATACAAGCTGTCATCATTCAGTGAATGATTATACACAATCTGCAACATAAACAAACATTGGTAAATATGACTTAAGGCAAAAATAGATATATTCACCAAACAAGACATGGAATTAAAACTAGACAAAAATGACTAACAATGAAGACAAATGCATGAATTCAAACCATTTAGAAACAAACTACAACTCAAGGTTCTGTGAGAAAACTAGCGTACTTATTTAACTCAAACTATAACCATTTCATACTCCCACTAACTCAGCATATCAAAGCTCGAAATTAATTCCATAAATAATGAACCAATGTCAATGTCTTGACCTTTTCCCTGACCAATCTGTACTTGATATGCATGTGCTTGGTTCCTAAAGACCTCTTGTTGTTCTTAGAATAGAAAACTGTAGCACTATTGTCAGAAAGAATCTATAATGGCCTTTTAATGATATCTAGAACCCTAATTCCTTCTATAAATTTTCCTATCCATACAGCTTGATGAGAGGTAGCCTCGAAACATGCCTTATACTCAGCCATCAGTGGAGGTTGGAATGTTCTTTTGTTTCATAATTTTCAATGAGATAGCTCCCTTGCCATCATAAATATGTAGCTAGAATTTGACTTAAGTGAATCGTGACATCCTGCAAACTCAAGCTCTTTCTTCTTCTGTAAACTAACTCGTAGTCCTTTGTTTCTCAAGGTACCTCATCACTTTCTTTGCCGCTATCAAATGAGCTTGTCTAGGATTGGATTGATATCTTCCTAGCTCAAGACAAAAGCAATGTCAAGTCAAGTACATGCTTGTGCATATATCATGCCGCCTACAATTGATGCATATTGTTTGTCACTCATGTATGTCTTTTCAATCTCAGTTTTAGGACATTGTTGTTTCAGTTTGTCACCCTTTGTGACTGGTACTTCACTGCTAGTACAAGTTGACATGTTAAACCTTTTGAGAATTTTCTCAATGTAGCCAATTAGTGAAAGACCATGTAAGCCTCTCTTTTTATCACGAGTGATTTAAATTCCCAGTACAGATGAAGCTTCTCCGATGTCTTTCATTTCAACGTTGTTAGAGAGTATGAGCCTTGTCTCTTGCGGCAGTGTCATATGTGCTAGCAATCAAAATATCATCCACATAGAGGACTAGGATGATATGTCTCACATTGGACTTGAGATAGATGCATTTATCTTCTGAGTTTTCAAGGAAACCATGTGATTGTATGACTTCATCAAATCTTAAGTACCACTGTCTTGAAGCCTGTTACAAACCATAAATTGATTTCTTGAGTCTGCATACTAAATCCTTCTCTAATTCTTTAGTGAATCCCTTAGGTTGTTTCATGTAAATCTCTTCTTCAAGATTGCCATTAAAAAATGTAGTCTTAACATACATCTGATGTAGAAATAAGTCATAATGAGCCACTAATGCCATAACAAATATGAATGAGTCCTTTGTTGAAACAGGTGAGAATGTTTCTACGTAGTCCACTCCTTCTTGTTGAGTATATCCCTTGACCGCAAGTCTAGCTTTGAACCTTTCTATTTCAGCCATTTGAATGTCTCTTTGTTTTGAACACCCATTTGCATCCAATTGGTTTGCATCCTTCTGCAATACTTTAAGTTCCTACACTCCATTTTCTTTCATGGATTTAAGCTCAGATTCTATGGATTTCATCCTTTCTTCATGTTGTAAGTTATTCACTGTTTTCTTGAAAGTTGTGATGGCTCACCAATGTTGATGTCAGCCTTACTCAAATATAGTACAAAGTGATATGAGATTGCAGGCTTCCTTACTCTTGTCGATTTCCCAAGTATGGGTTCCCCTTGGCTTTTAACTTGTTCAATGACTAGAATTTGAACGAGCACACCTTCATTTGATGTATTGAATGGCACTAGATTGTCCATCATGTCATTATTTTTTCTTGGTATTTCATTTTGTACATTGTTGCTTGCAGATGAAGCAACATGCACCATTTGTACACTATAACTTGCAGATGAAGTAACCTGGTCCAAATGAACACTGCCAAGCTCCATCTCAGTCGTTGGAGTTGAAGTTCTCACTACATTGTCTTATGTTTTCTCCTAAAAGACAAAACCACGTTATTTGTCACACCAACTGCAATCTCCTCTATTAATTTAATCTTTCCAATTTCAATGAAACTCATGGAATTGTCTGGACAATAGAACTTGTACTCCTTGGTTCTTTCTCAATATCCTATGAAGTAACAACTTACTGTTTCAAGATCAAGCTTTCTCTTTTGTGGATTGTAGGCCCTAGCTTCTTCCTTGCATCCCCAAATTCTCAAGTGTTGTGGGCTTGGCTTCCTCTTGTTCCATAATTCAAATGGTGTTGCTGCCACTTATTCGCTAGGCACTTGATTTGAAATATAATTTGCAGTTTTGATTGCATCGCCCCCACATAAATAATGGCAAATTGGTGGTGCTCATCATGCTTCTTACCATGTCCTTCAATGTTCAATTTTTCCTTTCTGAGACCCTGTTTTGTTGTGGAGTTCCAGGATTAGTGTATTGAGCCACAATCCCCTCACTTTGTAGGTAGAGTGCAAATGGTCCAGGATTTCTACCATGTTCAGTGCACCTTCCATAGTATTATCCTCTATTGTCTGGCCTCACTCCCTTAATCTTCTTGTCCAACTGGTTTTCAACGTCATCTTTGGAAATTTGAAAAGTCATTAGGGCACTGGACTTCTCAAATAACTTTAAGTAACAAAATCTTGAGTAATCATCTATGAAGGTTATAAAATACTTGTAACCATCATATGTAGGTGTAGGGAAAAGGTGACAAATGTCTATATGGATAAGCTCAAGCAATTCATTGCTCCTTGTTGCATCCTTCTTATGTGAATTAACCATCTTTCCTTTAATGCATTCAATACAAGTCTTTGGATTATCATAATCCAATGAAGGCAGAATGCTACTCTTGCTCAGATTCCTTATTCTTTCAATTGAAATGTGCCTTAGTCTTTTGTGTCAAAGAGTGGATAAAGTCTCATTGTGATTTAATATCTTTTGTCCAACCATGTTTGTCATGTAACTTGGTTCTTTGTAGTTAAGTTTCAACATGTCACCAATGTGTAAACATTTCCAATAACTTGCAAGTTTTGATAAAAGCCACTGTCATTTATTGAAAATACAAACTTCTTCTTAACTATCTATCCAACAGCTCCGATATCTAATGAAAACTAATTATACAAATTAAAAGCTTCAAACATTCAATTACCCAGAAATCAAAAATGAAAATCTCTAATATTAGAGAGCCAAAAGTCAAGTTTGGTGTCTCAAGGCTTCAACATAAATTTTTGGACTAAAATCCCCTTGAACAAAAAACAAAAAAAACGCAGCTTGTAAAAAAAAAAAAAAAAAAAAGAATTATACTCCTAAGGGTATTTGAGACCAAACAAATAACCAATAACCAGATATTCATTCACCAACGTGTTTTGGCAGTTAATACATGTCCCTCCAACACCCAACACCCTACGACCATAACGAGATTGTGCTTCACCATGATCGTCCGTCTCATTCATCCACATTCTGCTCTGGCAATTCACAAATCTCACACCTAACACCATATATATGCGCAAACAGTTGCAGTCGGCGCTGCTACCACACCATTCTGGAGAAATTCTTCTACGTTGCATCTTTCGTTTCTCCTCCAAGCATGCAATCCTCTGCATATTCTCTCTCTTCTCCACCTACGCCGCCTTCATTGCCATCTTCTCCAGGTACCCAACTTCCTAATTTAAAAACTAGGGTTTAATTTTGGGTTTTTTTGTTTGTCATTAATTTGGGAATGGTGATTATCTTATGCAATGGCTAATGATTGTGTGTGTTGATTTAGGACCATCATCCAAATCCAGTTTTGATTTTTCACTCTTTTCGTTTTCTTTGTTTCCTTGCAGATTTGTGAATAAGGATTGGGACTACAAAGTGGAAGCTCTAAAAAATTTCGTTTTAAATCGTAGTTGTCTCGCCACTGATTCAAACAGGTAAAATTGGTAAACGAAATCGAAGTTGTCCCACTCGAATCACTGGCGAGACAGCTCCAATTTCAAAACATAATTTTCCACAGCTTCCACTTTGTATGTGACGACCCGTCTCTAATTTTCTATGTAATTTCTCCCCGAGTGTGTAAATTGACATTTCTGCCCTAGTTGGCAATGTGATGTGGATGTAGTATTCAGCATTTATTTTATTTTCCTAGTAGTGTAATTAAATAGTACCGGTCGTTACGAACGCGTGAGCACGAGTTAGACCCGAATTGGAGCTATAACGAAAAAGTTACGCTCTGTCAAAGTACATTAACAGTGGGTAGAAACCTTATCATTTTCTTCTTTTAAAAACTGTCCCGTTTGCCCTCAAATCCCTCGCATTCACTCATTTTTCCCTAAAACCCTCACAACCAATCAAAACCTTTCCTCACACCTCTCCCCTAATCAGAAACTACTCCTTCACTGTCTCTTTTCTCCTTCTCTCTCTCTTTCGCATTTGACTCTCTCCCTTCTGCAATACACACACACCATCATCAAAACTTGCAGATTGAATTCAAAAACACCATTATACACTCACCATCATCAAAACTTGCAGATCGAACTCAAAAACACCATTATTGTACTCCTCTCGAACCCGCAAACCCAGCCGTACTAGCCGATGGTGAAATGACCGAGTTATGACTCGCCAACTCAGAAGCTCCGACTCTGTGAGTTTTCCTCCGACGAGTTTCAACCCAAGTTACAAGGTTTTAGGACATAGGGAAGCTTCTACACAACTCCTAGGGTCCAGACTAGGTTTGGGGTCGAGTTGACGTCAAAACAAGCAAGTTTGAGGAGTCAGTTTTAGGCTGAGAATTTTGAGGCATTTTCAGGCCATTTCCTATCTATTTTTGGACTTTTGAAAGGTACAATCTTGTTCTACTCTTCATAAGCTTCATTTCCATATAAAGTGCAAAAAAAATGGTTAAGAATTGAAGAAGATATGAAGCTTTGAAATTTTTCCCAGTTTCCGGCGAAACCAGACGGCGGCGGACCGGTAGAAGCTCACTGAAGAAGACGAATAATATTCCGTCAAAGTTGACGGAATATTCTAACGGCGTCAGGTAACTTCGTTACTATTTAATGAAATATTCCGTCAATTCTGATGGAATATTCCTAACGTCCGTCAGTCTCTGTCAGGTGTGTGGCCTGCGCGTGTGGCCGTGGGCTAAGCGGCGCATGAGGGCGCATCCGGCCTTCGGGTGGCAAGTGCTTGACATGTACAGGTCCGTGACTTCGTGTAGATCATTTTTGTATATTCAAACCTTCCGTTTGAGCAATGTATGAGAGATTTACCTTATCACATCCCAGCCTGGGCCCTCACCACATCCCAGGCTCGACTCCACTGTAGCACGATATTGTCCGCTTTGGGCCCCGACCACACCCTCATTGTTTTGTTTCTGGGAACTCACACAAGAACTTCCCAGTGGGTCACCCATCCTGGGAATGCTCTTGCCCGAACTCACTTAACTTCGGAGTTCCTATGGAACCCGAAACCAGTGAGCTCCCAAAAGGCCTCGTGCTAGGTAGAGATGGGAATATACATATAAAGCTTACAAGATCCACTCCCCTGGGCGATGTGGGATGTTACAATCCACCCCCCTTAGGGGCCCGACGTCCTCGTCGGCACACTTCCGGCCAGGTATTGACTTTGATACCAAATTATCACATCTCGGCCCGTGCCTCCACCACATCTTGGGCTCGACTCCACCATAGCACGATATTGTCCGCTTTGGGCCCTGACCACACCTTCATGGTTTTGTTTCTGGAAACTTACACAAGAACTTCTTAGTGGGTCACACATCCTGGGAATGCTCTCGCCCGAACTCGCTTAACTTCGAAGTTCCTACGGAACCCGAAGCCAGTGAGTTCCCAAAAGGCCTCGTGTTAGGTAAAGATGAGAATATACATATAAGGCTTACAGGATCCACTCCCCTGGGCGATGTGGGATGTTACTTACCTAGCTTTTTTGAATATGTCCTATTTAATTTATTAGTTTAGTTATTTCACATATAGCTCAAAATTATCTCGAGGACGTACGTGGTCAAGCGAGGCTAGGAGGCTATGATCTAACCACGTACCAATGAGTGGGCATTTTGTTTTCGTATATATATAAACCTTATAGTTTCCACAAATGCTTTTGAATTGATTTATGCATATCATGCCACTGTTGTTTTTAGATTGATATTACGCCTATTATGCCATGATTAAAGATGCTATAAGAAATGTTATAATGCTATGGAACACTAAAACAATCCTACGAGATGCACAGGTAAGTTTACATTGTTAACTAGAATTATTGAATGGTTATGGCATGTTTATATATATGTAGTCTTCTCATCATTGCTACACCCTGATGTTAGTGCTCGCCCAGGGCCAGTGCTAGTCTTTCACGTGTATGTTCACCTATGCACCGCACACTCGCCTTGGATCCAAGTAGGTGTCAGTCCTGTCGTACAAGTTGTATTAGGCAACTCCGACTCATAGTGACCACGATTATCGCTAGTCTTCACGTGATTATAGCACTAGAGCGTACTTATACATTATGCCACAGTCATGTTCATGTTAGAAACTATTTGCATGAACTCGTGTGCTAGTGTAGATTGATGAGCAACATGTTTTCATTATGCTATTGTTGAGATATCGTAGTTTGGCACATTTCTGTCATCATTGTTAATTACAGTTGTTTTCATACTTATACGTAGTATGATTTTCTGAAAACTATACATGATTTACAGCGAGGGGTTAGTATGTTCGGAAAATAGATGTGTTTTATAAACCTTTGCCTTTGTGCCCACTCACCCTTTTGTTTTTCGCCCCTCCAGGTCTTAGACAGCCGAATTCTCTAAGGCATACGAGAAACTCCGGCGAATTCTGACATATCTAAATAAATGTAGGGACCCTGTCTTGGTTGTGTATTAAGCACTATAATTAGTTCCGATTGCACTCTTTTGTTGCCTATGCTTTGAATATTTGTATTCTATGGGTTATACCCACTACTGCGCACCCACTTTATTAGTTTAAATAAGTTCTAGTTTCAATTTTATTTTTTTCACATTTTTACATCACCTACACCTTTGGTTATGTCACTTTCAGGTGACGGCCAACATGCCTCAACTCTGGTCGGGGTGTGTCATTGTAGTCCCAATCCTTATTCACCAATCTACAAAGAACAAAGAAAATGAAAAGGTGAAAAATCAAAATTGGATTTTGGGGATTTTCCCTAGCTCTCTAGATGCCCAATCTCTTTTAACAACACACAATAGTCTGTCGACGGACTCTGTCTTTATATTTTAGTTTGAGTGGCTTGCATTGTATGGCTAATTATTTCTCACACTATCTAATCAAATGAAGGGGAAAGAGTTTTAGTTTGAAAGATGGTCCTAAATCAACACACACAATCACCAGGCATTGCGTAAGATAATCACCTTTCTAAATTAATGAAAAAAAAAAAAAAAAAACCCAAAATTAGACCCTTGTTTTTTAAATTGGGAAGATGGCAATGAAGGCGGCATAGGTGGAGGAGAGAGAAGATGCAAAGGATTGCATGCTTGGAGGAGAGACAACAGATGCAGCGTACAAGGATTTCTCTAGAACGGTGTGGTAGCAACGCCAACTAAGCAACTGCCTGCGCATATAAAATGGGGGGGGGGGTGAGATTTGTGAACTACCAAAGCAGAACGTGGATGAAGGAGAAGGACGATCATGGTGAAGCGCGATCTCGTTATGGTCGTAGGGTGTTGAGGTGAGAAGTGTTAACTGCCAAAACACGTTGGTGAATGAATATTTAGTTATGGGTTATTTGTTTGGACTCAAATACCCTTAGGAATATAATAATTGTTTTTTTTACAAGGTTGTGTTTTTTTTGTTTTATGGGTTTTTAGTTCAAAAATGTATGGTGAAGTCTTGAGACATGAAACTTGACTTCTGGTTTTCTCATATTAGAGATTAGAGATGTTTGGACTCAAATACCCTTAGTAACATAATTCTTCTTTTTTTTTTTTTTTTTTTTTTTTTTTTTTTTTTTTTTTTTTTTTTTTTTTACATTTTTTTGTTTAAGGAGTTTTTTAGTCCAAAACTTTTTAGTGAAATCTTGACACACCAAACTTGACTTCTAACCTTCTAATATTGGAGATAAAGATTAGTAAAGATATATTTACGTAGAATTATCTTATAAGTTTGCATAACACAGAAGACTATCAATAAAACAAGATCAACAAAGTGATTAAAATCAACAATATACAAATGTCAATACTACTCCTTGGTTCGAAGTTCCAATTAGCTGGACAAAAAGGTGCAGAGGCAAAATGAAAAACACTAAAAAAACTGAACCTGACGTGAATCGAACACGCAACCTTCTGATCTGGAGTCAGACGCGCTACCATTGCGCCACAGATCCATACATGCGTACTGCCTACCTTAACCAAACATATTCAAAGTTAAAAGACTAGTAAGCCTTCATCTTTTGCTTTTTATTTTTACTATTGGAACAACGGTTTGATTTTTCCCATTTGCTCATTCCCGCCCACTTCAGTTCTTCCATTCCAAAATTTTTATTTACCCATTTATATAATACAAACAAACAACTAACCCCCAACTCAAGAACCATCCACCTAATGGGAAAGATTCTCTTATATCGCCATTTCACCACATGGGTAATCATTTATTAGATAGTTAACTTACTTTTTATACATACGATGATCATTTATTAGACAATGATATTACTAGAACAAAACATTAATTGCATGTCCTTCACCTAATGAGATAACTTACCAAGATCCACAAGTTTTATGGATATGGTAGTTCAACTAATTTGCAACAATAACAATTTGCTAATCCTATATAGGAAGATTTGAAATGTGACCATGAATTCGGAGTAAAATGCTCATCTACTAGAACTAGAACAGCAACCAAAAATGTAAACAATAACATATTCTGAAATATAACAAACAAATTCCCTCTCAATTACAAATTGGCAAATTTTGCCAACTTCATACTAAAACTTTTACACATAATTAAAGAAAATTAAAAACCAACACTATCACCCGTAATGCCTACAAGTACACAGTTAAAATACGGTATTTCTATTGAGACTATCTGATGAATACAAGTTTACAAAAGAAAAGAATGCAAAATTTCGTCTGACTGCGTGTTCCCAAGGTGAATAAATGTAGCAGAATCGACTTCAGAACTAAATTTTTCAGTACACAAGTTTCCGGCCAACAAATAATTCAATTTTCCAAGTTGTCAGGCCCAATACTTATCTTTATCCACATATCCATCACAGGCATTCTGTGAAACTCGAAAGTTGCGTCATCTCCATGAGAAGTTGCCTCTGGGGGAGACTTACTAACCAATAAATTTGGACTGGAGAAAATTAAAACCCAGAAGCAGCAAAGTATATAACAATATTACCTTGAAAATTCCCTCTCCTAGTTTTCCCCGTCGAGATTCAACGTTCCATTTCTCATTGCTCTAAGCTGGTGTTCATCTCAACTAACTTTTGTTGTTCTTCCTCCATCTTTTGTGCTTTTACCTGATTCACAACCTTAGGCTTGTTGCTTGTAGATTGCTGATACATAACACCGCCTAGCATACATATTAACAGCCCCACTGTACCAACAATGGTTGAATGCTTGTCCCAAATAAACAGATTAATCACAACAGTCAATAGCTTGTTCACTATACCAAGAACAGTAAATCCAGTTGCAGAAATTGCCCTTCGGCAAGAAAATCCAAAGAAAGAGATAGATAAACCAAATAAACAAGATAACCCCACTGGCAAAAGCACATTAAAAGAATACCAATCTGATTCATCAGTGATTTCATGCTTAATCTTCTTCAATTCTCCCATTACTAGTAGTTCAATTGGAAACAGTAGAAGAGCCTCGAGATTGTTATAGAGTACAAGACCCCATGTATTTAAGCCGATGGTCATTACCACATGCTTTATGTAGACAAAATCTATCGACATGCTTACCAAGTAAGCTAGAGCCCAACTATAAGCCGTGACTGTGAACTGGTAATCTGTAAGCACATAAATCACACTTCCCCCAAAAATTGTGGCAAGTGAGGCCCATGTCCTAATTGATGGCCATGGCTGGTGCAAGAAGAGAGTCTCTCCTATAGCAACAAAGATTGGAACAACTGAACGAAAGACAATGAAAGTGTCGACATTGGCATGAAGAAGGAGCTCACTGTTGGTGAAGAGAGAGAGGTAGAATATAATTGCTGCTGGTAGGAAGCGCCACATGGTAAGAAGGTCAAGCGAATCATGTTCTAGCAACTTAAGCCAGCCACATACAAGGACCCCCATAGCACTTGTAAAATACTGTAAAGCAGTTAGTGCCCCAGGATAAGGAAATTTTACGACAGCCCATTTGTTGATAATGGAAAGCAATGAGGCAGATAAGCAGTAACCAGCAGCTATACCATAGACTGAGATTTGTTGGAGTATGACACTATACCAGTTTGGTTGGATATTACCAAAGAGAGTAGGGTCACTTGAACCACCCTGGGCCTGATGGCCCTGACCAACTTGAGGATTCTCCACACCATTTCTATTAGACATCTATCGTAGGATAAAAACATCTTTGTAAGTCCACACCATTATTTCATTTATATTTTTGCAAAATTCAGAAACAAATGCTTAACATAAACATCAGGCAAGAATAGCACCTTTCTCATGGACACTTCAGTTTCATCCATCTTGCTGGATTCACCAAGGACCTCCACTTGTTCAAGCAACTTCTTTAACTTTTCCTCCAGAACAAACAAATGTTCAGACTTTTCACTTGACAGTGGATGTGGTAGAGCAGGTTCCACCTCCTGATGACGGCGTTCGCGCTCACGCCTTACTCTTCTATCCAAATCCATAACCTGTAATGCAAGTAGATATGACAAAGAAATACAGGTGAATATTTTATTTTCATTGAGCATAAATATAGGTGAATAATTCTAGATCATCAAGCCCAATGGAAAGATGTGCAACTTACCAACATCTCACAAAACTGAGCAAGTTCGGCTTCAAACTTGGGAACATATGCATCATGCTGTGGTGACTTCTCAAAACTACAATCACAAAATAAAAAGACACACTTAGAAGTAAAATACAAAAAAATAATCAGTCCAATAGCAAGTAGAAAAAGGGTGAGGGGAACCACAAGAGCCTTGAAGGGAAATAAAAGGCAGCAGCTGATGGATTTATGATGAAAAGGCAGACAGTAAGCTCGTAAATTTCTGATAAAATGGAACAAAGCATATGTAATGAGCTCAGATGATGATCTGATTTTGAAATCTAAACTTCGAGTTTCAACAAAACAATCAAAATACTCTCATAAAAGCTTAGTGAAAGCAATTATATACCATTTTCCAGATGGTTAAAAATTTATTCTTCAACATTTTCACGTAACAAAAATGAAATAAATAAGAAGCTCGCAAAAGGGTTCAAGCTCCAGGAACAGAAACCCTTGATAAAATAATAAAGAAAGACAGTAGTAGATATTGGGATGTGAAACATCAGCAAGCAACTATTTTAGTAAGCTAACTTGCTGAAATGGAATGGATACATTTCTATTCCCTTATAGGCAATCAACTATTCTATAAAAAATACCGATAACTTATAGCAGCAGCTTAGAATACCATGGCTGAAGTATTGCGATATTGAATTTTCATTCCACATGTATGAATCTGTTAATTATGCATAAAATAGAGCTTTTGTAGCAAAACCAGTACAACAAATTAACTTAGGATGGAAAAAGAAAACACAATTCCTTTAATTGCATTGGATCTAGATGTACAAAGTACGGCAACATGAAAACCTCAAGAAACATTTCCCACAAAAAAATCCTAATCTAGAAAAAATGTCCAGTTAGTCACCTTTCTTTCAACTTTGGGTCATGTATTTGAGGGCACTGTCCTGATTCATAAACAAAAGTTCGCTGTTAGTGATGTGTTATACTCTCCCAACATCCGAAAAGCAAATGATTTGGGAATCGAATCGTGATTCAAACATTTCTTGCTTGCTCTTTCTCATCAACCAAATAGACTGTTAAACAGGTGTAATTCAATATGAAATTTAAAAGCAATGCACCTAGATCGCTTCGAGTATTGGCGAAGAGATCGAACGGGCAAAAACAAACCAAGTAGTGCCCGCAGACCTCCTTATCATCCCAAGTAATTTCCCTCCCCCTCTTTCTCTCTTCCTCCATCAAATTACGAGCTGGAAATTGGAATTCATCAACAAAATTAAAAAAATACACACACAGACACACACACACACACACATATACACACATAAACACATTACAGCAGGAGTAAGCAAAAAATTAATCCAATTAGAACCACTAAATATTACCAAAGTATAATATCTAAAATGCCCGAAGAAGCAAAAGAAAATGAGTATGTAGAAAAACAACAATTAGTTAGGGTTTATGTGAGATACCTGTGCCCATAAGTTCGTGTAGCAGAGAAGGAAATTCAAAGGGTTTGAATTTGAAAGAAAAATAAAAACAAACAATTAATTTGAGTTGAAGAATAGGAAATTGAGATTAGGGTTTATAGGAAATGCACAAGTGAGGAATAAGCAGCTCCCATGGCTTTTGGGCCCTCTAGGCTCTAGGCTTTAGGTTTGATTTTGAATCTCAAGGAGTAGATTTATGATTGGGAATCTGAGGGAGAACGGGACAGCGACGGTAGTGGTATACATTCCTCATTCTTTGCTAACTTTGATTCAAGGTCATTTTTCGGACAATTACTACTAATTTCCAATTTTTTTTTTTAGGGTAAATTTGCTTCTTTGGTCTCTATACTATTTTTCTCCACCTATGCAATCGTGTTCGAATCTTTTCCCTTTACTTTAAAATAGTAAAGTAAAATTATTTTTAAATGGTGAATTATTCTTGTGGTTAGGACATTTCTTCTTAACATACTACGTCATGAGTTCAAACTTTTCTTTCTTTTTAATGTATAATTAATATAGAGTATTGTTAATGTAGGTCTCCAGACCACTTTCCTTTCCCTTTAATGTATAATTAATATAGAGTATTGTTCATGCAGGTCTCCATACCACTTTTCTTTCCTTTTAATGTGTAATTAATATATAGTATCGTTAATGCAGGTCTCCAGACCTGGTCCTTGTCCCACTCTTGCCATGACATCATTGTGAAGGAAGACCCTTTGACTGTGAACTAGATCCTCGTTGGATGAAGAAGACCCATGGCACGTGATAAACCACTTCTTTAGGATGCTCAACCGAGACAACCAAACAATAGCGCTCTAAGTAGACCACCAGACTAAGGTGCTCTAATAAGACCACCAGATCATGATGTTCTACCAATACAACCATACAAGAGTGCTCTAACCAAAAATACAAAAAAAAAAAAGGTTGATCTTATATACGAGGATTTGAGGGTGTTGACCCTAGAAATTACAATGCATATGTGACAAGCAAGCCAAGTAATTGTGAGCTAACTACATTCTTCTTGTGAATGCAGGTGTGCCAACTCGCAATCGAGCTCAGACGGGCGAATAGAATAGATGTGGTGGTGGTGTTAAATATGCTACTGACTTATGCACCTGAGCAATTACGATCGAGGAAGGAACACATCCCTCGACCTTGGTTTCTAGAACCTAAAGATGAGATTACTATATCACTACGAAATTCAATAATTGGTTCGGGTTTCATTATGCTAAACACGAGGTAACCTGGTAACACCTCACTTCACCAAGAAGCAAATGAGATGACATTTTTAGGCGAAATAATTGGAAACTCTTCGCCCATCGAGACTTGGATGGATAACCAACCAACCAGAAGCAGTGTTTTTCACTTATCTGAACTGAAGATGTTTGATTCTACAACTTCATTGTTGTTAATCCAAATCAAAGAAGTCACCGGTGGCCAGCACAGAGTTGTTCACTTGTTCGAGAATTGAAGATGTGTTGACGGGAAGGTTAGGATAGTTAGTGTTTTGCTCAAGAGCGTGAGAAAGGTTCCATGTAGTGCGAGGTTTTTGACATGGAGCGTTTGAGTTGTTTGTTGAGTTGAATGGGGCTTTTAATGTTGCAGAGCCTTTATTTATAGGCGAGGCTTCCATGATAAACAAGCATGTGGAGGCACGGTCTTGATGGGACTGTGTTTGCTCGACGTTTACTTGAATATTCTTTTTATCCTTTCTTAACCAAAACTTCATCTACATTCATTTTTGACCTCTTTGATTCCAACTAGGATTATGAACCTAATCACCTTATGAGATTCATTCATCTTTATCCAACCACGTAGCCACTCTAATCCTTAGGATGATTCCTATTTATCCAAAGCTTAGTCTGATTCTTGGCAATTTCGATTTGTGTAGGATTCGACTGAGCCACCGCATACTTAATCTTTTCACAGTCCTACCTCCATGAGGACTCGGTCGTACTAATCCTTTTCTTCCGCTAAAAGCCCATTAGCATGAAGGATATTTTCAGGGCTAAGAACCATGGTCTTTGAGTCAACCCATATCGGCCCAAGCTGTAATTTCAAGCTTAAACAGAGGGGTTGCCATTTAGAAAAAAAGAATGACCTGCACTCGTTTCTTTGTGTTTCAAAGTGAAGATGACTAAAAAAAATATAGAAAGTTGGATGATATTTTTTAAGTAAATGTCCGAAATAATCAAGAATACATGTCATGTGCACAACACATGACCTATTTTGGATGAAAGATTAACGGACTTTGGGTGAGATGTCAAATTAATGATTTCAGAAAGTTGGTATGACAAATCCCCTAAAATTTTAGTTCATATAGCAAATTGAAAAATGTGTGAAAGTTCATATAACATTTCAAATATTCTCTTGCAAATATGACACGTGTAGGATTAAGAACCATTAGGCAAGGTTTTACATGAAATTTTAGTCCACGTGAAACCTTATATTGAATCTTAATTATTAATCAAATATGATTTCCGGTTACATGTGTTGATTCGTGAGCAACTCTCCAAATTTTTTATTGGATTTTTGTTGAAGTGACAACTTTTATCTTGTAATCATTTTTCAGATATAATTTTCGAGTTATGTATCGGTTCATAATCAACTTTTCATATCTTTGACTAAATTTTTATTAAGGTGACATCTCTTATCTTCAACTTCGCATGTCAATAAATGGTGTGTATTGAGTTCCACATATCACAACTTCATCCCATTCCGTTAAAATTTCTATAATCCCCAGTAATTTGTTAACTAATTCTGCAATGGATAACCACTCATGTTCAAGTTTCAACATGAAATTTGAATAGGAGGAGCGGAGTTTTGCATTGGAGGTGGTTGCCTAAGAATCTCCAAACCCATGTGACAGCTATTCCCTAGATATCTGATTCCCATATAAAAACTCAGTTCAACGGGCATGCCTTTGGTTTCCGGAGCCTTCAAGAAGACGAAAACAAGGGAAATGACACAAATCATAGCGTAAACTCCAAAAGCACCGGCTAGACCTATTGAATCAAGCATCACATGTAGCGTGTAGGTGACAATGATGTCCCCAGTCCAGTACACCAAGGCGCAGATGGCAACGCACATGCCACGCACCCTTGTGGGAAATATTTCAGAGTAGAGGATATTTGGAATTGGCCCATAGGCCATGACAAAGACGCAGAAATAAGCCACAACACAGGGTTGATGGTGCTGCATGAAGAACTCAACCCAAGGTCAAAACGTTGGTAATGACGAGCAACACTATCAACACTGGAATCGTAGTCTGCAACAAGGAATGCAGCAGTTAAGGTTTAAACTCTACACCTGTTCCTTGTCAGTTATGCCAATTTATCAGCAATTTAGTTAACAAAGAAAAGAAAAACTAAAATTAGAAAACAATCATGGGCGATGGACCAAAATTCAGTAAACACATCTCCGAATTTATCACCAATGATCTCCACTAGTTTCTGTTTTGTACCATTTTAATTTTGCATCTTAGTCGTATCAAACATTTCATCAATCTAATAAAACGAAAAGCATTGTCAAACAAAGAACATAATTTAGTGACTCTTTCAATATTATCTACGATTGAATTATACAAAAATTGAATAACTGAGATTAAAAATATAACATCTAAATAGGTATGGAAATTAAACCAACAAACGTTCAATTTCATCCTCATAGTCCTTTGGCAAGCGCACAAATTGCAAACATCACCACTCTATGTTTGAACAACAATTGGTCCTAAAGATGAGTGATAGGATTTTTACCGCCTAGACAAATAGGGTTAAAATCACATAAAATACTTTCAAAAGTACAAGGATGTTGTAGTATAGATTCTCATGCAAGGTCGTTCTCCACAAGGACTATTTCAATAATTTATGTAAAAACAATTCCTAATTAATTACTTAAAACTAAAAATTGAGAAAGGGGATTTTAAAATGGGTTAATATTAAAAACAAATTTTAATTAAAAACAAATAGTAAATTCTCCCAAAACTAATACGATAAAAGAAAAGAGTTTTAAATACCAATTTATAAAAGCACTAGGGTTCCACCATCACCTAGCAATCCTATGTATTTTTACCAATTACTTATGATCTACAAATGCCACTTTGAAGGTTATGTTTTCCTAATATATATTCTACTTGGAACCTCCAACATATAACGTATATCTAACATGCAATCCGTCCAGACGTTTGGATCAAATATGAACATGAGAGACTCATTATGTTTTATGAAAACCATTTGAAAAACCATGCAACCCTTAAGACATGATGTTCATCTTAAGTGAAATTACAATTATTAACCACAATAAGTCAGCATTAATTTCAAGGAACCTTCTGACCAAATTTGCATCAAATTACTTTTCTAAAGATCCTAATGGTGATCAAGCATTAAGACAATTAAACAGTTTAAAACGGTGATCAATAATTCAAAGCATGCATGCAATCAATCATAAGTGACACACCCCGATCGAGAACAGGGCATGCTAGCCGTCACGTGGAAGTGACGTAACCATGTGCACAGTGCGGAAGCTAAGTAAAATGATAATAAAAGTACGAATAAATAAAAACCAGCTTTACACAAAGTAATAACATACATGTGCAAGCGTAAGTGCGAAAAGGAAGTTCAGAGCACGAAGACCTAATGCAGTCCGAGAGAAACCATACTACATAAACACACTCAAAGGTGGTCCTACACTAGTGATAATCTGTCAGATATGCCGGGGAAATCATTTGGGGAGCCACCAAGAATGCTAGCCAACTAAAACTTGGAGGGGCGCAAAACAAAAGCGTGAGTGGGCAAAAACAAAGCTTTTAAAAAAAAATCATTTCAAAAACAGATTCTAACCCCTCGTCGTAAAACCTGTATACCTCCCAGAAACATAATATACATATATATAATCATGCTCGGAAAATATGCCATGCCAAATGTCTCTAAATAGAATGTAAGTGCTCAGGAATGTTAAATCAATGTCATATAAGCTGTCAGCCAGAGTCACCTAACGTGACCTGTACGGCTGAATCTAGAGCTCAAATCTCTATCTCACTAACTATACCTGCACACGAGTCGGAACCACCTAAAGTGGTCTGTACGACAGGACTGGGTGTAATATAAGTACGCTCAAGTGCTACGATCACGTGAAGGCTGGGCGAGTAATCGCGGGTCACCTACGAGTCGGAACCACCTAAAGTGGTCTGTACGACAGGACTGTGCACCTAACTTGGATCCAGGATGAGCGTGTGGTGCGGGAGGTGAACATCACGTGAAGGACTGTGCCCAACTTTGGGCGGGAGCACTAACACCGGGGGTGCAGGTTATGAGCTC